GAGGTTTCAGTGAGATGTGACACTAAAGAGAATGCCTCAGGTATTGTGAATAATTGGGTTGTTTTTTGTGAGAAAGAGACACATGTCTGTGAAGATGCTGGGACAGTTGTGGTCCCAGAGCCCAGAAGCTCAGGTGAAGGGAGCCTCTGAGTTGAGTCAGTGGGTCCAGGGCTCCTTCTTGAGAAAGCCTGCTAATGTTCACACTGGTGGGGTTAAGAAAGGCATAAGGCTAGATGCCAAACTTCAAGAATTTGTTAGTGGTAGCATGATATATTATGATGGTTTTAACCTTTTTTTAAATAAAACTTTACAAGGAATGCTAATATACATATAGAACAACTGTAGTTAAAACTGGAATAGAAGACCCAGAGGCAGGCCTGGTCTTTTTCTTCCTCTCCTTCCTCTTAGTGGTCCCTGAGACACCTCAGAATTCTAGGGCACTTTGAAACAGTTTAAAAACAATTAGCATCATGGCCAAAGTAGGGGGGAGACTTGACATTTAATCTTCCAGAATATGAATTCCAATACCACCAATTACTAGTTATGTTACCTTTGGCCAATTATTCTATGCCACTGAATATCAATTCTACATCTATGAAACATGGATAACCATAATGTCTAACTTTTATGGTTGTTTTAAAGATTAAATAAGTAATGGATATTAAAGAACTTTGTCAAAGAGAAATTGATGGAGTTAGTAAATGGTTACCCCGAGACTAGAGTTAATTATGTATACCCACGTAAGAAGGCAGTCTTATTCAGAACTAGTTATACCTGGCACTGATTCCTTTATATGTTTCTTGCCATTTTTTAATGTTATGATGTGTCTCATTTTTCGATGTTATGATGTGTCTCAAAAGCCCATTTCTTCAGGAACTGAGGTAATCTAATATACTACAATAATTTTATTTCATATTCTATATTAACAGTTGAGATGATTGTGAAAGATCCTTTTTTTTTTTGAGAGTAGGAATTGAACAATTCACATGAATAGAGAATTAAATTAAGCACCACAAGTGTGTGTGTTTTTTTTTTTAAGACAGCATGTATTGGTAGCAACAATGTTAATCATGGTTTGATTTATTGACAGATATCCCTTACATCTGAATGAATGACTCCTCCTATGACAGCTTAGAAAATGAGCTGAATGAGGATGTTGAAGCTCCATGCAGTGATGTGATAAAGAAACTTCGTCAGGGAGGCAGAAGCATGGACTCCGTGTTAACTCTTCGTGACTATTACCTTGACCAGCCTGAGGTAGAAGGTCTTTTAACCCTGAGCTACTTTAACTTAGACCATACTAAATATGAAGACAAATGGAACTTGACTTAGATCATTCTAAACCCAAAGACATTCAAATAGAACTTGATTTAGACCATCTAAACATGAAGATATTCAAATGAAACGACTTAGACCATCCTACAGATGAAGACTTTCTAATGAAACAGCCACTTGAATCCAAGCTAGTGATTGCTTCAATACTGTACAGAAAGGCCAACTACAGGACCATGCAAGGCCCTCAACTAGCATGAACACATTCTGCTGCCTGTCCACAGCTGCAGCGGATGCTCCAAAAAGCCCCAAGTGGATCTGGTACTTCTTGGAGCCCAGCACCAACTATGAAGTTTCAAAGCTTTCCTCTCTCAGAGAGTTTTACTGGGAAAAAAAACTCAAGTCCAGCTATGATCCAATTCTCTCACAAGAAGATGACTATCTGAAGCAGAATCAACCCCTACAGAAAGAGAGTAAGACATGTTTGAGACAGAATTTAGGCATAGGCACTGATATCAAGAAAAATGCCACTAATAAAATAGTTAAGAAGGAAAGCTCGTCAGGTAATGAAGGAAATCACATGAAACTTTTTTCTAAATCCAAGCCAGTGGCCATTTCTGTGGCATCTTACAGTCATGTATCCTCATGTGATCATCCCCAAAACATGCCCTTTGATACAGGTACATCTGGATACTCCCTGGCACACACAACAGGTACCCTCAAGAGTTCAAAGAGACACCGGCGCTGCTCGGAGACCAGCAGTCATGACCAGCACTGCAAACTGAGCCATCTCGGGGGTATTTATTCAAAGAAACAACATAAAACCAGCTATGAAGCTGATCACTTGGAGAAGATGACTATCTCAAACGGCACAAGTCTTTGCAAATGGAGGGACAAAAGCTCATTAATCAGAGTTTGGTCATGGGCATCGAGGAGGGCAAGAGTAATGCCATAAACCAAAACACTGAGAAGTTTTTACACTCAAGCTTAAACACTTGCCCAAGCACTAGCTCTTCCAGTTTGTCCTCCCCAGGCACTTCCCCATCTGGCTCATTGGTGAGCTCCCAAGACAATGCTTTTTCCCAGATTTCTGAACACTTCGTTTTTACACCCACTGATACTTCCTCATCAATCGATTGCACTTTTCAGGCTCAGAGAAAACAGGAAGAACTTTCTTCTGACCTTTGCAGTTCTGGTCTCATTTCTGGAATGCCTGCTCCCTCATCTGGGCAAGCCAGCAGTCAACTGGCTCACACAAATAAGAATAGAGTGTCACTCACATTCTGTAACTCTTCACCCCATCACATGGTTGAGAAATGGCATGGCCAGTCTAAAGAACTGGTCCCTCAGATAGAAACCAAGTGCATACGGACCAGAGGAAAAGAAAATAGGTTCTCTACAAAGACCCACAGAGCAGTCTCCACATTCTTCTGGTGTTCCAGAAACCAAGTCACTGCAAGAGAAACAGGAAGATATGCCCGTAAGGGCAGCTGAAGAACTTGAAGCTGTGCAAGAAGCTCAGTGCAGTAGCTCTTATCCCAGCCAGGTCTCAGAGAAACACTTTAGCTCTGCACTCAACCTAGTGGAAGACAGTCTCAAGCTTTGTATGCAGTCACACGGAGAGTCATGGGAAGTGCTCTTCGGACACTCTGCCTTGTGTGAAATCCTCAGCCTGCCCTTAGACTGAGTAATGTGTCCAGCTCAGACTCAAGGCCTATGGTAGTTTGTGATGTTGGGGACAAACATTCAACCAAAGACATTTAACCACAATAAGAATCCAATGTCTATAAGAACAGAAACTGAGCTAATAATGGACATAAAGACAGTAATTATTATGACCTTGTTGTATAAAATGCCTGGAAAGAATAGCATAAAGATAATCATTGCTAACACTTAGGACGACAAAAGAATTCTCTTTATGGAGACCATTTGGCAAAAAGTTTAGACTAAAACTGGCTCTTTTCCTCTGGAATGGGCTTTTCTAAAGCTGCTTTTTTTCTTTCAGAATTAGGTTTATATGATTCACTATAACAGTAAAAAGAGAGAAAAACTCTTTAGTCATTGTTTCCAATGACTAAAAGTGAATATGTGAGTTCAACACCTAATTCTCTTTACTGCTCTTATAGAGAATTATATAAACCTAATTCCAAAAGCAAAAAGTAGCTTTGAAAAAGCCCACCTCAGAAGAAAGTTTTAGTCTAAACTTTTTGCCAAACGGTCTCCATAAAGAGAATTCTTTTGTCATCCTAAGTATTAGCGATGATTATCTTTATGCTATCCATCCTAGGTATTTTGTACAATGGGGTCATAATAATTACTGTCTTTATGTCCATTATTA